TATATATATATATATACACCCCAGCAAAGAGGCCTAATGCCTCTGCTGTCGATACACCTGAAGTATATATAAATATAAATAATAAATATAAATAATAAATATATATATAAATAGGGTTTTCTCCCCCTTATTAACCCCTATAAATAATGAATATAAATAATAAATATACATTTTATTTATTTATTTATTTATTTATCTTTTCCTTCTTATTTAATTAAAACTTATAGACACAGACACAGACAGACACACACACTTATTGTATGAATATATACATATATATATATTTATAATATGTATATATATAACATACAATATTTATATTTATATATTTATATATTTATTTATTTATTTATTTTTATTTATTTTTTTTTTATTTATTTATTCTTTATATACATCATGCTGTACACTCTATAGAGTGCTTAATTAAACTTCATGCTGAGCTGTATGTACACCCCAACACAGGATCAAGCATCCTTCTATGCATGCAGTGAATATGCATGTATGCATGCATGCTTGCATGCATACATGCATGCAAGAAGAGGGTGTACATACACCTGAGCCAACCTGCGGCAAGGATAGGGCGAAGCCTTTGTTGCCTCTACAGCAAACCCAGGGGAGTATTAATACGACCGCATGCATGCATGCATGCACGCATGTATATATATGCAGTGTATATGCATGTATGTATGTATGCATGCATGCATACCATGAATGCATGCATGCATGAATGCATATACACTGTAGATGCATGTGCATGTGCGGTCTCTATGCAAGCATGCATGTATATGCATGCAGTGTGTATGTATATATATTTATGCATGCATGCATGCATGCATACATGAATGCATGCATGCATGCATGCATGAGAGTATAAAAGAATACAAGCATGCAAACACGGGTAATATTTATGGTGTATATACACCAAATAATAATAAGAATATATTATACATTACCCCCGCATACCCTGGCACCATGTACAGAGGAGAGGGCCCCATGTGTACCAGCTGTACCCTGTGGTGGTGGGGCCCCCCCACCTGATAGGGTACTATTATGATGATGGGGCCCCCCGCCGAATAAATGAGCAGAGGGCCCCCTAGAAATAGGATTATTATTATTATTATTATTATTATTATTATTATTATTAATATTATTAATATTATTATTATTATTACTAGCATAACTAGAGAAGAAACAGGCTTGGGGTCTTATTAATAATAAACAAGGCCTAAACCTAGATAGACGGAACTGTTGCTCATCTAATATTTGTAATAATTTTTCTTTATCTTCCTCAAGAACTAAACCCTTTGATGCTGTATCCTTTACTAGCTGTATATATACACAAATACACACACATAAACCCTAAACCCTAAACCCTAAACCCTAAACCCTAAACCCTAAAAAAACCCTAAACCCTAATTTTCTACAGGAGGAGAAAAAAAAAACAACAGCATGTATCTAGCTGGATATAAAGCAGATTGTTAACTATTATGAATCATCCCTCCCCTCGATCCATATAAACCCTAAACCCTAAACCCTAAACCCTTAATTAGCATCTTACCTTAATCTTAAGATTAAGAAGAAGAGTTGCTGCAACCTTGCATACAGCGAATCGGAAACAATCAGGATAACAATCACGAATATATAAAACAAAACGTTTTGCAGAAAGAATCTGTTGTTTATAACTTGACCTGCAGCACATATAAACCCTAAACCCTAAACCCTAAACCCTTAAACCCTAGAAACAAGAAGTCAACCCGATATAAACCCAACAACCACAAATGTTTAGGGTTTAGGGTTTAGGGTTTATTACTATAAACTATTATTTATAAACCCTAGCACTGTTCTATTAACCTCTAGTGTATATATAATGGTTTTTTAGGGTTTTTCTAGGGTTAATTAGGGTTTAGGGTTTAGTGTTTAGGGTAAATAACTTACAGTAATTCTTTTCCCATAAGTACTTGCATACTTTTACCTCCTTTATCTAATAATTCCTCATGTACATCAACAAATGCTAATAATTGCTCTAAATCACTCTGGCATGCACCAGCATTGAATAAAGAACGAAGAAATGCAGAGGGAAAACGACGAAATAAACAACAAAATAAACTACGCTGGTATTGTAAACAATGTAAACGTGATTGTAATACACTCCATTCATACTCAAATCCTGTTAGATTCTGCAGAAAAAAAAAAAAAAAAAAAAAAAAAAAAAAAAAAAAAAAAAAAA